CACTCCCTAAACTGGGAAAAGCCATTTTACTCAGGGAGCTACGGGCAAAGCAACACTGAGCTCCTGTCTTTCCTTCTCTGCTCTTGTGGGAGCCTCTGATGTAGCTGCTTGAACAGCTGCTCTGGTGCATAAGACTGTGAAGTTCAAAGCATCAGCCCACAATGGCCCCAGGTTCTTTCCTGTGCTCCTGCAGCCACAGCTCAGACACAAGAGCTCAGGCAATCCAGAGTCACGTGTCCTTTCCACCCGCAGCAGCTGAGAACCTTCTGTACACAGAGCAGGAGAGGGAAGCACCAAAAAGAAAAACAAAACACCACTGGATGGGGTGGAGAAGGAGGTGGTAGCATCCACACTGGGCCAAGGAGCCACAGGTGGCAGAATAGGTCTTCCCTTGTCTTCCTTTTCCTCCCATCCACCATAAAGGGTGACACTGGGGAACAGCCACAAAAAAAGAATTCCAAGCCTCAGGCCAGAATTTTCAGTCTTGGTTTCTACATCGCAGGCCAGGTTATTTCTACTGCAAGGTCCTCATAGCGCTGCCGGAGTCTGTGAGTCGCATAGGCCAGCTGGGCATCTGGCCCCAGGGCTGTAGTAGATGGCCCCTGAATGCACCAGCTTGTACAACACTTTCTTGTATTGCAGTCCCAGTTTGTTAGAAGGAGCACCAGCTGACAGCAGCACAGGATCAGCGAACGGAGGGGGTGTTAATACGTGCACAAACAGTTGTTGAGATCTCACACAAATGGGCACCTCAGCCCCAAAGATAATAAATCCCATGCCTAAATCACCTGTCAGGCTTCCAGATTCACTGGAACTACAATTCCCAGAAGCCTTTGGGTTTATTACAGCATCAGCTTGACAATGGGAGAGAGTTTGAACCTGCTTGGAGACAGGAGCCTCTCCGCTGCAGTTAGGCATTACAGGACAACTCTGACTCTCTGTTGCAGAGGACAGCCAGACAGCCGCTGTTATCATCTCTGTTGCTCCTCACTCTGCCAAAGGCTGCTGTTTATGGTTCTGGTGAAAGCCTTGATCGTAATCAGGTAATACAACACCTAGCAAACTCAGCAGGATCTGAATGATAAGGATTCTGGACAGCTTCCTATGATTAGCAGCAGGGCAGGCCCTCTCGAGAGACCTGTATGTGAATGCAGGGATGTCTGAAGGGACACACTGCCAGCGTGTTCAAATACAGCAACACAGGTTAATTACCCTGGCTGGCCAGCAGGACGTCTTTGCAACTGCATCTACTGGCAAATTCTGAATGCAGGTTTCTCAGAACATGTCAAATGCTTGTCACCAGCAAAACTCCCCAAGGTTTGAAGTTTGAAAGTTGGACTTGGTTACCCTCCCACAAAACCAGCTTTCGTGGGGGAAAAAAAAGTTGTTTTTTTTCCATTTCCTTATCTCTGCAAAGCAGCCAGACTGATTTTAATGAAACCTGCCCTTGTATCACTGTCCCTCTCCTCAGCCTCCTCCTCAGAAAAAAGTCTCCATTGGGATGAGACTGCACAAGAGAATTTATAGCCCACGATGAGGGAGTGAAGGATCCTCATTTATAATTGCGTAACTCTTTTAACCTACATTTCAAGGTAGCTGTGGTGTCACAAAAGTACTAGGATTGCTGCAGCTCAGGGTTCATGGAGTGGTTGAGCACTTAAGCACAACATGACAGACTTCCAGTCTCCTTGGGAATCTTGCAAGAGTGACAGTAGTGGAATGAAGGGGTTAGAGAGTCAAAATTTTACAGCTAAAACAAAGGGTCTGATTCTGCATCTGCCTTGCAGATCATGCTGTTAATTACAGTGGGGACAAGGGACAACAAGGCAACAACCAGTGCCAGTGCAGAGATATTTTCCACCTGCTTTTCAGGGGCACATAGGACTGCAACCAGGTCCAGAAGAGCCCACTGCTGACTCGACCCTCTGTGCAGCACAGAGTAGTGAGTCTCACCCAAAAAGACCTGGTAGAGCTAATACATATCTGTTAAAAGCCATCCAGACATTCAAACTCCAGTTCAGTCCCAAGACAAACAGCTTTGATGATCAGAACAAGAGGACATCTTTTAATGTCTAACTAATAACTTATAACTTTGGTCAAGCGAGGAGACCCTTTGGCATCCTTGGTAAAGTGTGCATGCACATGCACACACACACACACACACACACACCTAGAAGGGGACGCTATTCAACACCTCGGAACCTTAAAAATTAATCCTCTGCAATGCACTCCTGTTCCAGGGGACTGCACATGCCTATGTCACATCACCACCCTTACTCTGCCTCTCAGTTCTGGTCTGATGCATAGACAGGTGATTCATATGGACAAGTCTGAGACCCAGATCCTTGTCCAGTTCAGTTCTCCACCCCCCCACCCCCCTTCCCCAAGAGAATGGAGTGAGCAGGCAGAGCTGTGAATAGCATGGCACGTCTGCCACTATAAGGAAATCCACTGCCTCCAGTTGAATAATGCTTGGCACTTATATAGGGCTTCATATTTGAACAGTACTACACAACCATTAGGGAGTGAGGAAGTCACCCGGCAAAGCAGTTAAAGATTTAGCTTCCTTGTAAACTCCCTCTTGATGGGAATGAACAGATTGCAGAGGTCAGAGGAATGTGGTTGAAAAGGAGGCGGTAAGGTCTGCAGTGATTTGCATGGGTCTGGGCCAGGGGTGGGCAAAATGTGGCCTGGGGGCCGGATGCAGCCTGCCAGACCATTCTATCCGGCCTGCGGGGCCCCTAAAAAATTTAGAAAATTAATATTAATCTGCCCCTGGCTGCCTATCATGCAGCCCTGGATGGCTTGCCAAAACTCAGTAAGCCACCCTCCACCCAAGATAACTGCCCGCCCCTGGTCTGGGCTCTGTTCATGCTGAGATGAAGCAAGAAAAATGTAGGAGTTGCAGGAAGTGGCACTTTTGATTAAGGAGCTGGCTCTTCATCTAGGAAGTGTTGGGGGGCATTGCTTTTCAGAGCTCCTGACTCTTTGTGACCCTTCCAGATCCCACAGCAGTAAGGACAGAATCATTAATGCTGGTGTCACAGTTGAATCCCACCTTGGAACTTTTGCCAGTGTCATCCACTTCCCCTCCAAGCATTTTGCCGTACACCATTCAAGAGGAGTTCCGTGTTACCAAAGAAGCGGCTGCTTTTCAGAGGTAGGCAAAGCTATTTGTATTTATGTATGCATGTTACAGTTCATATAAATCAGCAGAAAGCTTAGGGATCCATCAAGATGGGAGGGAGTCCAAAATGCCAGTGCTCTTTGCTGTGGCAGTAGAAAGGCCCAAAATTCCTTTTTGGGTTTCTCAAGTAAAAAGTGATAATTTCGAGCACTCTACAAATAGCATCCTACAGACCCAAAATAAGTCAGACAATATTTTTCCCATCCAATATCCCTCATACCGTGCAATAAGAAACCCCTGAAGAGAACATGGGCAACGTGGCCCCATTGTAGCAGTTCTGGTCTCCTCCATTATATTTGATGAGATAAAGTCAAAAGCATGTTTGCCCCTAAGCTAAACAGTGAACTCCATGTCCTCCTAATTACATCAATAGAAATGCATTAAATGCTGTGCAATGTAAATGCAGGGGAGAGGGTAGGTCCCTCTTGCTGTGGTGACACACTCTTCTGGATCAGATTCCCCTGTTAGCTCCTTTCCCCTTCTCCCGCACCAAACAGAACTGGAGCTGCTTTTCTTTGGAGGCCTGGTGGAGTGACACTTAAGCCACTCACCATCTTTCAAATGCAGGAACAACTTGGGAATCTAAGAACCACTGACACCTGGCATTCCCCATCTGCTAACACCACAGCCTCAAACATGTGGCAGTAAATTGGGGAGGCAAGAGTTACATGCCTCTCTAGCACTGCCTGTAGTACTTCTTCCTCCCCTTGCTTCTCAGACAGTGATCACTGAACACTTGACAAGCAATGGCACTTAAAATAGTAACAGGAGCCATACAGGTCTAAATACGGCGGTGGCCTGCTGCGCCCCTCTAGACCACTGTCACCCTGGGCTGGAGGAGGCACACATGCTTGAGCAGGAGGCTCACAGAATCTATGCCCTATGGCCACATGCAGGCCATGTCAGTCAGGCAAGGGAACGGGGATGACAGTTCACCCTGCTCTGAAGAGAAGGGCCAAGGAAGGAAAGCCTGGGAGGATAACACCAATTCACCTGCCCCAATTACATTACAAGCAGGGGTTGCTTAATCCAGGCTACATCATCCTTGCACTTCTTAGGCAGAAGCATGGGGTCCAATCACTCAACTATTAATGACTGCTACTGCCCAATATAGCCAGCTCAGAAAGACAACTCTCAGGATCTCCTCCAACTACCCTTCAACCCATACAATGCCAGGCCCAGAAGCCAGCTGGGCTCCAATCAGACCACTCTCTTCATTCACGGCAGAGGCTACTACCAGAAGCCTAACTAGGGATGGGAATGTGACTGGATGGAGAGGAAAGATGGGAGAAATAGTCATTTGGTTCCAGCCTAGCTTAAAATAACCACATGCTTCAAAAGAAGCATCAAATCCTCAGCTGTGGCAAGTGAGGACAGCCCCACTCATTCAGCAATGCTGCACACAAGCCCAAGACTGGCCTGAGTAGTCACAGGGGTGCAATACAACTATGCTCCCTAGTGTGCCTCATGGACAGGTGAGGCACGGGGACATCCCTCCCCAGCAGTCCACTAGCCTTGTATTAAGAAAGGCAATGAGCAAGACAGAAACCCGGCAAACTTACAGATTCAGTAACAGGCAGGGTAATGCTTCCAGCAGGGGTGAAGTGATATGATTCACCTCACCCAACATGCCACCTGACTACTGACTCCTTAATACTCCAAAACAGGATTGATCCTGCTGCCATTGTATTCAATGGGAAAATTCCTACTGGCTTGGACAGGACAGGATCAAGCTCAAAGCCATCAATTATGCCCATGAATCTCATGACATGGCTGTGAAGGAAGCATCCCAACAGACTGTCAGTGTAGTTAGTGTGCCACACATCTCAGGATTTACTGGCCCTACAGATTTTTGTTACCATTTACAAAAGGTCACACCTCAAACGCAAAGGATAAAATAAATCATGATCACCTTTGCCTTCACCCATGAGGGAAAGGACTGCTAGGAACAGCAGGTCCCCAAGTATAGTAACACACTGAGATCTGTGAACACAGATCAATAAGGAGCAGTGCATCCTGGGACTGCCAGCCCCCTGGGGCCACTCTTCTATATGTATCCATCGGCAGCTGTGCTCCACTCTGCCTCTCTCAGCCTTAGGGCTCATCTGACAAGAAGTGTGGGCTCCAGGGACTCCTGAACAAGCCACTGCAGCCTCCCACCATCACTGCACAATGCCCCTGACTCCATGCACCACAAAGCCACTCACGTGGTTTGACCACAGTGCCAATCCATGCCGCCTGAAAAGTACAAGCCTGGATGTTTATTTCCATTACAGGAATGCAAAGCAAAAACCCTCCAAAAAACACACACTAACTACAAATATGCAGAGTCCAACCCACCAGATAGTACAGAGGACAGCACGTTCATGAAACCTGCATTCAAACTTCAAGCACAGACTCTACACAGTGAAAACCAAAATATCTGAATGTGACGCACAAACGCAAGTGCTTTTTGAATAACAGAGGGGCTGGTTAGTGGAGAGAGACTTATATGTGCATCGTATCAGATACCTACACCTAAGGAATCATGGGCTGACGTATTTCTGACTGATGCCTTCTTTGCAGCATGGCAGTTCCTAAGAGTCCCCCTCCGAGGCTCCCCAGAGCTAGGGACAGTTGTACGACAATGTGACCAGCCTTAGGTCAATCTACAACCTGTGCAGTTGAAGGAGAGCCGACAGGAAGGATCAAATTGCACCTAAACACTCTGGTAAAGAAAGAAGAGGGGCATAACCCCGGTTCAGATAGCAGCCGGATTCCCGACCAGCGCAGAGTCCTGGCGGCTGTTCCCAGCTCAGCCCCAGGGCGCTCGCTCAGCCGCTCCAAGCTGCCTCTCCCCACGCACCAGTGGCATGGACGCTCGCCGGTGCCACAAGAGAGTCAGGTGCAAACCCGGTCCCCGCGCCCCCGCGCCAAGGCCAGCAGGAGCTGCCACGCAACCACGGCACAAGGACCTCCTTGGTCTGGTCATTGCTCTGCGGCTGCCATGT